AGAAGGTACACCGCTATCTGGCTGGTCAAGGAGCATTGATCTCTCTTCATTTGATTGTTTGGATGATGAAACATGGATTGGAATTAGTAGACATCAAGGTTCTTTGGAGCAAAAGATGGAGCCTATATTGGAGAATTAATCAAGTCTGTGCTAATGGTCTCGGATGTAATGGAACTTCTTGTTAAGAGGGTCATCATGGCAGAATCTGAAACTGCTCTTGAGAAAGAAAAGGTAAATTTAGGTCAGGAAGAAATTAAAAAGAAGGCTGTCCAAATTGAGAATATGTCTATGAAGTTAGAAGATATGGAAAGGTTTGCTCTGGGTACAAATAATGTTCTTAATGATATGAGGCAGAGGGTTGAGGACTTGGTCGAAGAAACTTCTAGACAGAGGCAACGAACTACTGAAAATGAACAGGAGCTTTCTCGTGTGAAGCAGGATTTTGAGTCCCTGAAATCTTATGTTAGTAGTCTCATTAGTGTAAGAGAAACCCTTCTTTCATCAGAGAAGCAATTTCAAACCATTGAGAGGCTCTTTGAACGGTCAGTATGATCTTTGAGTTCTGTGATCTCCTTGACTTCACTTATTCTTTGATATGTTTGCTTGAAGCTAGGTTGCCTATTCTCATGTTGTTTTTCTACTACTGAGGAGTCTAATTTTAGAAGTCCTATTTTTTTGCTAGTGTTGCAATTTTAGGACATGTAATTATAGTAATGAATTTGATTGGAAATGCACAATAGCGGCAACTATTTTGATACGTGCAAAACTGCGTTTTGCATCTGGTAGATGGGTGGATGTGCTGGGAAGTGGTGGTATTCAACAATACTTTTGTGTATCTTTCTTGTGTACAAGCTTCTTTTTAGTTGGTATCTTATTCATGGAATGACTTTTAGTACTGTTCTTAACCAGACTAGTTGCAAAGACAACACAGCTAGAGGGTGAGAAAAAACAGAAAGAGGCTGAAGTTCAGAAGCTTATGGAAGAGAATGTGAGGCTGACTGCACTTCTCGACAAGAAAGAAGCTCAGGTTTTGGCCATGAATGAACAATGCAAAGTGATGGCCTTAAGTGCGTTGAATGTATGATCCAGCTACCTCACTCTATTGCTTGTTGGACTTTGCCTGGTGCGTTGTTCCAGCTGATGCAAAAACCAGATAGTGAACTGTGAGGTGGGACTGGTTGTGCTCTGCATTGGAAAATTCATAGCTGATACTTTCTTAAAAGTGTAACACAGTGAAGAGTGCAGGGAACTTGAGTTAACGCCTTTGGTTTCGGAAAATCGAACGATTTAGGTGTGAATGCATATTGTTGTGCTATGACAAATATGGTGTATTAATGAAAATGTCTAAAGTGTTCAGCTTTTCTATATGGGGTTCAAATCTCAGTCCTTTTTCATTTCAACTTAAAAATTATAATCTCTACAGAAACACAATTTTATTATTATTATTACTCAGTACCGTGTAATCTAAGCCATACCTTCGGGTCTACCTCATAGTTCTTTTGTCCCGACTTTGGCATTTATATATATATATATATATATATATATATGGTAGTTTGATGTTCAGGTCCTCCAATCTTTGATGAACTTGTTGGACGATATCTTTCTGACATTTTATATCTCATATCGTTGAAGTGAGGAAACAGTAGACTGCTACTGATATAGATACAATGCCTCTACCATTGAAGCGATGCCTCCAGTTACAAAATGTAGATGATCGTGATAGGTTACTACTGGAGTTCACTAGTCAAGTTTATACTGGGAGAATTCTGATGGAACATGTGAAGATGTGTATATCAGTTGGGTCTACCTCCTTTATAGAAATAGAAGCTTCTCCTTCAATGACCGGTGCTGTCAAGGACACGAATGGCCATTGTTGTTCATATTGTGATGATCCATTTAGCCTTTGCTTTCCATGTAAGGTCTCAACAATGGTTTTATATGCTTTCCAGTTCTAGTTCGATTGTATCTGTTGGTTTGAGTCTACATGTCAGATTCAAGTTTACTGATTCGTATCCCATTTGCTTTATCCATCACAAAGTGGATAAATATTAGCTTTATTATACTGTGTGAGCAGGGGTTTACACACCAGCTGAAACTGGCAACCTACTGTCGTTATCTTAGCTTTCACTGTATCGAAATTCATCATGAGATTCACCGTAATTAACGGTGATCACGTATGGTCATATCACTTAGACATTTAAAGCAATGAAGTTAGCCATGATCTTTTCACATATTTGTTCTGGCTTTGGCATGCAAGATTATATGTTTGCTAGCTGTTTTGAAAGGTAATATAAAGGAAGCAGTCATAAAAGATCACATTATGTAACTATTTAAGGCCAGGTTTTGGCATTTCAAACATGGGAAATATCTCATATGTTAGAACAAATGAAAGGCTGATATACCTTGATATGCAATCCTTAATCCTGTATTTAAGATTATAAGCACATGGGTGTTCTAGAGTTGCATATGAACTTCACAACACTAAATTTATGCCCCCATATGCTTGAGTTACACTCAGTCTTGGATCTTAAACCTTGTCACCTGACAACTCTCGATGTTTTAATATTCGGTTGGTCGTCGATACAGTGAGACTACAGTTTCTTGCCGACTAAGCTGACCTTGCGAGACAGCTTGCAAGTATGTTGATAATGGAGTTTTTAAGATATACGATGTGGTCTTTTATCGTTCTTTGAGTAGGTGAAATGTAGGGCTGATAACGATGGAAAATTACATCCGTGCTTACTCTGTAACACCTTTAAACCGATACAGGTGATCCGATTCGATCCAAGGTATTACATTAAAGTTACCGGAACGACCCACAATAAAAATACGGAAAAAAATAAAATTTTACTAAACACAATTTAAAATCATAAAGCAATTTCAACATAAATGTATAAAATTCAGAAACCGTTCAGACGTTAAATAAGAATTCAATAAAACATAATTATCAAAATAAGTTTAAGACACCGATAAAAAAATGTGACCTACATGCCCCCTAATTATACATATATCGTACTCACAAGCAACGTCGAAGGAACTCTCATTATTCATGCCGATAACTACATAAGATAAAATCTTTAACCTGAAATGATAAGTAACAAAGTGAGCTTTGGGCAGCTTAGTAATACAATACTACCAAAAGATGTTAAAGGTCAAACAAATATATGGTGTAGTATGAAGATTTCCTTAGTTATCCAGGCATATACAATTCCTAGTGATGAGTTGAGATTTCACTAATTACATCTTCAGGTAACAGTCAAGAAACCTAGTTATCCAGACAGATTCAAAAGATGAAGTTGGAGAGACTAGTGTGTTCCAACAAAAACTAGAAATAGTAGTTTATTTTAGTAAAATAGATTTCTAAAAACACGATAATACCCACCACCCGAACACCGATATGGAGTTCCCTAGAACTGCACCCATATGAACTTACCTTATACCCATTGGGTATAGAAGTCAACCTAAGGGAGTACCTTGGGGCCTAAGAGCCTACCTAAGGGAGTATCTTGGGACCCATGAGCTTACCTAAAGGTCACCTTAGGTCTATAAGGAATTACCAGCTTGATCGAAGTTGAACTTGTAGAACTCCATAATACATTCCAAAAGTATCCCAATATAAATCAAATTAACAATAACCAGTAATTAGGGGTGTTCAAAACCAGGTAGCCATGTTTTTGGGTACCCGAAATACCGGGTACTCGAAATTTTTCGGTACCAAAATATCGACCCGTGTCTCGGCCCATTATATCTTGATACCCGTATTTTTAGTTCACGGTTACCCGGTTCACAATTTTTTTTTTATTTTTTCTTTAAATTATATTATTTTTTAAAAAACAATTATATAAAAAATCTAAAATTTAAAATTTAAAAGTCTATAATATATAATCCACACATAAAATCTTGGGTGTGATACCAATTCACATTTTTTACACTAATCATAGTTGTCCTGATTGAGTTTCCTCTTGCCACAAGGTAATTTTTTACCATTATTTTTTTAGTAAAATTTTAAATTTATTTTTTTGTGATTTTTTTATTTTTTATTTTTATATTATTTAGATGGCAACATAAAATTATCGAGACAAAATTTTCAGGTGCAACTAAAAAAGATATACAAATGAGAATTGATATCTCCACTCGACATTAGGTAAATATTTTTTTTTAACTTACTAAAATTTAGTTAATTTTTTTCACTTTATGTATGCTAACTTTTATTATTAATGTTTATAGTTTTTTGGATCCCGTATTATGATGATGAGATCTACTTTTTATGAGATATACGAATGAGATATACTTTTTTGAATTGCCATTGAGATTTTTTAAAGGGTCGGAGTTGTGGTGTGTCATAACGCCTCTATTACACTTTGCAATTGTTAAGATTCATGCAACAGAGAGAGTGTTGTGACAGTTTGGGTCTCATCAATCGATTCTTACGCAAATTATTAATATGAACGCGCTTCATAGAATTGATATACGTGGGAAGCATACCCACAATTGGCAGAGGAAACATGTTGATTACATTGAGCAATGGAATCAACATCATTTCTTGGTCCCTATGCGTTACGAGATTACACTCGCTGACCTTGATTTTGACATTTCTCTCTTCCTCAAAAATTTTGAAGCAAATAGGAAACCATAATTAACGACATCAAAAGATAGGAAAGAATGGGAACGAGGAAAGGACGAATTCACAAAGGTCAAGAAGAAATCATCATCAACTTCTTCTTCTGCTTCTGCCAATTATTTTACATCTCGGACCAGTTTTAGTTTTTATCCTCCATATCATGCTTCAACGGAGACTCAGTCGAATTGGGTTGGAGGTTCATGGGATTAAATACAAAGCATTCAAGCATATTCGACCGAATATACGGGTGAGGGTGAATGGGATCATATTATATATAGTTAACAACATAGCCAAGTCGAGTCAATGACGACACAAATGATGTCAAATACCATAAGCCATTCACCATATTTCGAATTTACATCTCAAAGTGAAAAGATGTTCAATACACCTCCACTTCAAGATGCAAATGAAGATGTAGACGAACACGATCAAGGCGAACGACTTCAATGTACTCGATGAGTCCTGCGCCATTATCGTTCGACAACTCCTCGGTATCGTCAAGAACTAAAAAAATATGAATAAATTTTATTATTCATTGTATTAGTTTGTAATAAATTTTATTTAAGTTTTTAATATTATTTTTTGTTTCATATTTTAAAATTAAATCTGATGAAACTCGTCGCCTCGACGTGATGAGTTTCAACTGTTCATTTTTTAAAATTTCAGAAGATTCATTGTATAACGGGTACTTTTTTAAAATTCAAGGTAAATTCGTCACTTCGAAGTGACGAATTTTGTAAGTTTTTTTTCTCTTTAAAATTTGAAATTATTTTGTGAATTAAAAAAATTAAATTTCTAAAGGGACTCGTCACCTCGAAGTGATAATTCCCTATGAAAATGTTAAAATATTGACCCACATTAGACTCATTAAAAATTATTTTCATTGAAACTCGTCACCTCAACATAATAAATCAGATATTTACTGTAACAAATGCTGTAAATTATAAATTAAATTTTGTTCGGCCTATTGAGCCAAATAAATTTTACGCCTGTGGTATTGGAAAAAATCGATCAACAATAGGTAAGTATGAGTACAGTGCGAATTTAGTTCCGGTCAATCTAAATGATGAAAAGGCTAATTTTTTGTGTTAGTGGGACGAAAAAATTTTGGTCTCCTTTGTGTTCAGGACGTGTGGTCCTTTACCGGTAATCTCTTCCTTGCAGTTTGATGAACTCTGAGAAATAAATTTATTATTAATTTTTTTAAAACTTTTAGGATAAAGTACATAAATAGTCCTCGATTATAGAGCATTATTTTATTTAGTCCCTCAACTATTAAAAGTTACAAAATAATCTCCTGATTATAAAGTTTTTTTTTGTTGGGTAACTTGACTATAAAAAGTTACAAAATGATCATCTGACTATTCATATATTCCAAACTCATATTTTTTCGTTAAAAGTTTATTAATGGTCTAAGCTGAATATTAATCTATTGAATAAGATATAATAGCTATTTGAAATTTTGAGATCAGATTTTATCATACCACAATTAGCAGGTTGACGCCTACCTCAGACTGTTGCCAATATTTTAACAAAAAATGGTGGGTTTGAAACATATGAATAGTTTGGTGACTAATTTATAACTTTTAATAGTCGGGAGACTCGACAAAGTAAACCCTATAATTAATGAATCATTTTATAACTTTTAATAGACGTAGGAATCAACAAAATAGTATTCTATAGTTGAGGGACTATATGTGTACTTTACACAATTTTAATATAATTATATTATATACATTAATTTCTAATAACTTAATAAATTTAATTATAATTTATAACAATTGAATAAAATTTTGATTACGAATATTTTTTTTTGGATAAGTAATTTATATTCCATCAAGAAAAAACAGACATGCTACTACAATCAACAAGTTACCTCAAAACAAACCCCAATTCAAACATAACTGCCTGTTAACATCATCAATCCTAGGCTTGCCATATCTACTCAACTTAACTCTAACAACTAACTTTATACTATTAACAAGAGCATCAACCGAGCGAGATGAGCGTCTAAAGAGCCTGTGATTACGCTCTTCCCAGACCGAATACAGCATACCAGTCCAAGCGAGCCTCAAGATTCGAATTCTGAGGGATTTGTCTTTCAAGTTTGCTATCAGCCAATTGAAAAGATCCTCCCAGTTGGTCAGAGTATAACAAACACCACAGGAAGTTAGAACAATATCCCAAACTTCCTTTGCAAAACAACATTCAACAAAAAGGTGATCACGAGATTCAGAACTAGAGGCACACAGACCACAAACATTATCAATAGCCAAGCCGAACCGAACAAGCCGATCTTTAGTAGGCAGCCTATCGAGAATAACCATCCACGATTACGAATATTTTATTTTAACAAAATGCAATAATTTATTTTAACATAAAATTATACGTCTTTAAAGGTTTACCGGTTATCTGTTATACTTGCGGTAAGTGTGGACATGTGCAAGATAATTGTGGGGGAAATTTATCGGCCATGGCGATGAATGGTGATGAGGGGCTAGTACGAAATACAAAGGAGAACCCGTATGGGCCTTGGATGCAGGTGGCCAAACGTACCATGAAGGTTTCAACAAATCGTTAAGGTGGTAATACCGAGGTAGTTGTCTACGATGGAGGACACCTTAATGGGTCTCGATTTTTGGTACTTGGCACTCATACGGGGTAGGAGAATGTACGACCATTTTCATCACGGGAAGGACATTAGGCAGTTAATCAACAAGGAAGTAGCGGCGCTGGTTTGTTTAGTTATCATCCTAGATTAGGTGAGATGGCTGAATCTAGTAGGCAAAGGGGCAAGGGCAACGAAAAAATACAGGAAAGTCGAAACAGGTGGACAATAGTGCTTAGGGGATTCTGCTTCAACCGATCAGTCTTAATACTATAATGTAGTTCAGGTTCATTCATCTCTTGACAAGGACAATCACATTACTGTTTAGGTAAGAACGAGTGATGAGAATCAAGCGATTATGAATCAGGGAATTAGTAACTCACGGCGAGTGAAAAAAGTATCTTCCAGAAAAGGGGTCAACAAAGGATTATCGGCGGTTCCAGGGCTATCACAAAAAGGTTGGAAGACTCGAAAAAGGAAGAGAGGGTGCCGGCTAAACTAGTGTTAACGGAATGGTTAGCGTCCATGCACACCGAATTAGACCAGGCACAAAGTTCAACAGTGTTACCTGGGCATGGTGCTATCTCTACTGTTAGTCGAGCAGAAGAGTCACCTATTTGTCGTGCGAGTAACGTTTCTGCGCAGTGTACTCTAGATAAGATGCAGACTTAATTATAGGGGCGCTGATTCTCTAATTTTTGGGTTTTTATGTCTAAGTTATTCTTTTGGAATGTTCAGGTGCTCGAGATCATGATTTCAACCGTTATTTTAAGTTTTTGTTAGATACTCATAAACCAGATTTAGTGGTAATCTTTGAACCTCGGATTAATAGGTTGACTGCTGATCAGTTTATTCGTAAATCGGGTTTTAACTTCTAGTATCGGGTGGAGTCACGAGCCTTTTCGAGGGCATTTGGATCCTTTTGGAGGGGTTCTATTTGGTTCTCAGTCCTGGAGGTCTCTGGGCAGTTCATTCATATTCATGGTTGGTGTGCTATTGATATTGATGGTCAAGGTTTCTTCTTAACTTGCATTTATACTAGTCCTAATAGAAATTTAAGGAGAGGTTTATGGAATGAGTTGAAGGTGTTAGATCCTGGTTCAAACAAGCCTTGGGTGCTTGGGGAGATTTTAACGTTATTGGAAGTCGCTCAAAGTGCCAAGAGGGTTTGCAAAAATGGGTGGGAATTTGTAATTGCTTATGTGATTTTATGTTTGATTATAGGTTGTATGATTTGGGGTTCATTGGGCCGAAGTTAATATGGAAGAGGGGGACTTTGTCACAACGGCTCGACAGGTGTGTGTAGTTCTTCTTGGCTCGTTATTTTTCCTAATTCGGAGGTGGTGCATCTACAACGGTTGGGATCTGATCACTGTCCACTTCTTCTGGATTTGGGTAACGATTTTATTTTGGTTCGGCATCGGCCATACAGGTATATTGATCCGTGGAGCGATCACTCCAATTTTCCCAGACTTGTGAATGATACTTGGGTTGATGGGAAAACAATCCACCATAACATTTTAGACTTTCAATGTAAGAGTCATGAGTGGAATATGAATGTTTTTGGTATTCTTGGCAAGCGTAAGGCTTTTATTATGTCTAACATTAGGGGCATTGAGCGAGTTCTTGAGGACTCAGAGGATGAATATTTGTTACAATTGGAAGATGATCTTAAAAAAGAGTTGGGATGGGTTCTCTCTCAGGAAGAGAGTCTTTGGCATCAAAATTCTCGTAATCTATGGATCTTGAAAGATGACCTTAATACTAATTTTTTTCATGGGTCGACTATGATGCGAAGGAAGCAGAACATAATCAATATGTTACAGTTTCCAAATGCTTCTTAGAGTAGTGACCACGACCAGCTCAAAGAACTTGTCGTGGGTTACTTTCATAATTTGTTTGCTTCAGAGCATATTCACTCCTGTCCTACTGTTCATGAGTGCATTTTTTTTCCAGTTTAATGGTATTGAGCTTTGCCCTCTGCTCAATGAGGTCTCAATGGATGAAGTTCGCAATTCTTTTGTTTAGTATGACGCCTTTGAAATCTCCAGGAGTTGATGAGCTTCCTGCGACTTTTTTCAGAAGAACTGGAGTGTTGTGGGTTCTTCTGTCTTGGAGTTCGTGAAGCGTTTTTTAATGAAGGGCTGTTGGAGAAATGGGTAAATAAAATTGTGTTGGTTTTTATCCCGAAGGATAGTAATCCCGTCTCTCTATGCCAATTTCGACCGATCAGTCTGTGTAATGTATTGTATAAGATGGTGAGTAAGGTTCTGGTTTGTCAGTTGAAACATTTTCTTCCGATATATGTGGCACAAACTCAAGCGAGTTTTGTGCCAAGCCAGTAGATTACGGATAAAATTAGAGTGGCTCAAGAAGCGATACATTCCATGGCTAGAAAACGGTGAGGAAGAGTTGAATGGCTATAAAGGTTAATCTTTAGTGTCATAACCATTTTTTTGTAAAACAATTAAATATTATTTTTAAAAACAATTATGACTTTAAATTGAAAAAAAATGAGTGATTTTGAATTAATTTGAATTAAATTAAAAATGGAGTCGCCATCGACCTTTGGGTTAGGTAGGTCGAATACCTAAAAACGTCTTTTAAAACAATTTTAAGAAAAAAATCATATTTTAGACAAAATTCGGTATGCGTTACCAAAGATTCATTTAAATGGATTCGGAAGTCGGTTACGCGTGGGGAAGGATTAGCACCCCACATCGCCCAAAATTGGTACTGTGTCGCTTACACATTGTCATAATGGTGGAAATTACAAATCGAATATAAAGTTAATTTATGATCCATTTATCGAACATTAATTAATTTGCTTCGAATTATTTAATTAGAGAAAATTCTTTAACTCGAAAGGAAATCTTGAAATTAGCAATCCTCCATCGGGAAAACTAACTCGAACTATTTCTCACTCGTAAAAGAATATTCTACCATTGATTATGTTAAAAATACAAATCGAGTATAATTAAAAACAATGTTTACATACGAATAAATTGATTAACTGAAAACGTGAATTGAATACAAATTAAAAATTTTGAAATTTACACTCACATAAAATAAAGTAAATTGTCATTTAATATAACACACATTGCATCGTTTGAATAAATTAATTAGTAAAATATACTCGACTTGTTGCAAGTTCCTATGTCGTTAAAATGCCGTATCGGATCGTACCACTTCGACCAAGTGGTACTTTCCACGCCCATTCTACGCATACGTGTTCTTGAAAATATAATCGAATATTTCTTACATAGATAAAGATATAATGAAAATAAATGTAATTGGAAATACAAAATAAAATATTTACATTAAATGAAATTGAAAACATTATTTACATAATCCAAATAATTAAGTAATGAGTAAATACACATCCATACATAAATGTCTAAAAATAAATTAGTAAATATTACAAACCAAAATAAATATAAAACATTTAAGAGGCTAAAATAATATAAACAGAAACTTAGGAGGCTAAACAGCAAAAAACAGAAAGTTAATGGACCAAAAATAGCACTAACCGAAATTTAAAGGACTAAATATAAAAACAAAATAATTTAGAGCCCATATCACAAACATTAAACAGTCAAATACTAGAAGTGAAAATAACCCAAAAGTAAAGCTTATGACTAAATTGAAATTTCACAGAAACATGGAGGATCAAAAAGTAATTAAATAAAATGTCAGACAGTGACCAAAATAGAACATTTGCAAGTATGATGGCTGAATTCAAACATCCACAAAATATCACAACACAAGAACTTAGGACTAGAATGAAACTATTACAAACATAATGTCTCAAAGTCAAATATTCACAAAAATGACATAATATACATTAATAGGACTAAAATAAAATATTTAAAAATGGGATGGCCAGATTCGAATATCAAAGAAACATACATGAAATATTAAATCAGTGGCTAAGATGTAACATTTATAAATATTGAACCCAGAACCAAATATACACAAAAATGATATAACCTAGGATAGTGACTAAAATATAAAAATGAAAAGATAAAGGCTCAAATTGAAATAATGTAAACTTCATTCCATGGCTAAATAACACGGTTACAAAGCATCAGGGACCAAAAGAGTAGTTATCCCGTAACTCAAAAAATCAGATGATATTGGGGGCAAAACGACTGCGTTTTGCTCGGCATACCCCCCCCAAAAACGAGCTCATCTCTCATATTCCCTCATTTCTTCATTTCCACCAAAAAACCAGAGAGAGAGAGTTGGAGAGAACTCTCCCAACTCTCTCATCGGAGAAGGTGCCAACCGCTGCCGCCGGCGGAGTCCACGGCGACGCACGGTGGCCGGAGGGAACAACCTATCTCAAAAAATCCCCCTCGTTCTCCTCAACCCAAATCCCCAACCATCTTAGTCTAAAACCCACTCTAGGCCCCCAGATCTACAAGTTTACCTTTCGAAGTAATAAGACACCGTCGACCTTTGGTGTTCTCGATGGCTTCCTCCGACCGAGGTAAGGGTTCTATCTTTCTCTCCTTGTTTGTTGTTTTATTTGCTCTCTCTTTTTTTTTCTGTTTTTTTTTTTTTAAAACCCGAATGGTCTCTCGTTCTTCTCTCTGTTTTTTTTTTAACCGAATGACCCCCCCCTCTGTTCTCTTTGCTTCCTTCCTTTTATATTGCTTTGCATGTTGATTTTTTTTCGTTTGGTGAGATGATGATGTCTAGAATAGCCCATGTCCT